GGTAACAACAGATTATCCTCTTCTAGCAGATGATCCAGACTTCCCTCAGCTGGCCTGAGACCGCTCCTCTCAAGAAACACATATCCTAAAACTTTTCATTCATTAATCAAAATGTGCTGTGGGGTTTTTTTAGGGCAGAAGCACTAAATACAAGCATGAAAATGGTTTTATGCACTGCATACGCTAATAATAATAATAAACAACATACACTGATCTCTCATGTCCAGTGGAAGATTGCTGCGAGTTGAATGGCTCAATTAGAGTATCCAGCACTTTCAGACTAAGCAGACTCAGTGTTCACAGAATAATTTCACAGCTATCCCTGAAGAATCCTCCCCCACTATCCTCAGGAAATGGCACATCGTTGTCATTAAATACAAATCTTGTCTCCTTGGTTGGCAGGTAGAAGAGTGTTGCCTCACATTGTTTAAGGTACATATTTTATCAGTTTAATCCTTTCCTCATGCAGTATAACAGGTAAAAAAAGACACTCAACACAGATCCAGAAGACACTCTGAAATACCAATACGAGCCCAATCCCACAATGCACTTGAGTCTCTACTCCCAGAGAGCTCTAGTGACACTTTGGGACACTCTGGTTGCGTCCCATGTGAGGCTGTTCGGTGTGGAAGGGGACAGAAACCTGAACAAGGGAACATGTAACTGATCCAGCTGGTCCAAGGCCAGGGAAATGCTTGCAAGTGCACAGGGACCCTATTTCACATCCCTTGTGCTTGTAATACATCATCTCGACACTATGACAATTTTACCTCCAGCTTCAGATACGTCAGCAGAGCTCCCTAGTCTGCAGGGGTGCTGTGTGCTGGTAATCTCCACGACCTCCAGTGGAAACTCTTTAGCTGAACAGCAACAGAAGACAACAACTCTACCCCAAACAGCTGGCTGTCTCTTCACTACCGGGGAGACTACAAGGTCTTCTCTGCTCTGTAAATAAGAGTTTGGTCCTTTCTTCCCCCATTCTGTGGAATAGAAGTCACAACTTTTTCGAAATCTTGAGACAAGCAGATGCAACCCACTGCACTCGTTTTACTCTGGCAGCAGGACAGTGGCTCATCTCATTGCCCGAGGACTCTGCCAGATGGCACCCGGCTATCATACCACTTGCCACTCAGACTCCAGCCTGTCTACGCACGGCAGCAGAGCCAGGGAACTGCTATTCACACTCAGCCTCTGGCTGTTGTATTACCAGACTGTGAAGGTTATTACCAGCAGAAGCAACTTAAAGCAGCTGTGAAGAGTTCAGCCTTCAGTCTTCCAGCACTGGTTCAGAAGAACAGGGCTGCTGCATTAGACTGATTTAAACCTTTCTCTCGCCTATCCAGAACTGCACTTGGTGACACGGGACATCTCTCACTACTCTTTCTACAGCCAGCATGTCTTCGCCACTGTCTAGGCTTTCCCGGAGTTGCATCTAAAATTGCCTCCAAAAGTCTTTTGCACTTTGTGGTGGATTTTAATCATTTAAATAAACATGCTCCTTTTGTTCAGAAAATATACAGCTCAGTACACATGCATTCCCAAGAATGGGTTAAAAAACAACGAGGCCACACCATCTTACTCATTATGCAAGTTGTTGAGAAGCATAGGAAAGTGAAATCGCTGTCACTCCATTATTTCCACCGCTTAAGTGAATAGAAGATAGACAGGGAGGTTATGTTCCTCTGAGCTTTTTCATTCACTGTTTTATGAAGCTCTAAGATCTCGCTTGCTCTGTAAGAACTTACTGAAGTGATGTGCCTATTTTTGTTAAGACACATGATTTTTAAAATAATGTGTAAACTCAAGCATACATACAGCAATGAGCCTAGGTGCCTGGCTTGACATTCAGACTGATCACTTGTGAAAAATGACAGTACCATTTGGCAATTTTTTGGCTGGCAGGGGAAGAAAATAGTTTGAAGTTCAACTTGATTGACTTAACCTGAAGAAGAAGAACATACAAAATTGAAGTAACACTAGTCAAATGCACCATAGAATAGAGGGCAAGATTGGATTTTACAGCACTTTTAAGAGGGTCAGAGTTTGAAAATACTAAACATGTATTTAAAAAAAAAAAAAAAAAAAAAAAAAAAGACAGACCAAAGCTTCCAGCATTTACAGGTTAAAAAAACTGTTCCTGTCCTACCCGGGATTTATGAGCATGATTTGCTGTACTGCAGAACAAGTATCACTGCAGGATGTGAGATTTCATTACCAAGAAATGAGATCGGGAATTGGCTGTGACTAAGACAGGTGAAAACAAATCTTTTACTTATAAAAACTCAAGTGTATTCTGAAGTCTAGACAGACCACACTGTTTTCTCATCAGTTCTTTCTGCTACACTGGAGCACTTACTTTTAAATGAACTCTGTCCTGCTATCAAGCTGCGAAGCAGCACAAAAATGTAAGCCACATCTCCCATTAGCGAGATGACGCATTGCAGAGTACACGACAGGAATCCTCAGGGAATACTTTGGGATTAGAAGTGAATCACTGCACAGATGGGATTGTTGGGTTAGGGAATTCCCTATGCCCCATATAGGGCTCAAAACATTTAGAGCTTTTACATCAATAGGCAAGATCAAGCCATTTTACCTTGTAAATATTTAAAGTACAGGCAAAAAGACATGACATACTTGAAAATCTGAAAAGATAGGACAGTTATAGACACAGATACTTGTGTTGCTATTTTTTCCTCTTAAGTACTAAATATTCAGTGACTTCTACGGAAGCTGGAGAGGTATGAAAACTTGTAAGGAGAAGGACAGAATTCTCATGCAAAGTGTTACAAGCTAAAGATCAGGTCCTATTTCTTGCCTCCATACTAACCTAAGATGGAACCACAATTACTCTCTGGATAGACTCACTTTTCTTAACCGTCAACAGTTAAAATCTAGATTTGCTCTCTGGCAGATTACTAGAGCTACAGCATTGTCTGCTGTTGAGAAACAGGTTACACAATCTGTAAAGTCAATAAAGCTCCCAGACAAGTCCTGTGAGCATTTACGGGAAGATACTGCGCCTCTCCATCGCAGCCTATCTAGTCATTGTCCTCAATATCAAGAGATCAGTTACCCGGAGGATTTGCAAAGGCACAGAGGGCAGACATGTGCTAACTCCAGCTGAATGCCAAGGGGAGCTGGATCTGACTTGTAAACCCCCCCAACCTGACATAGGCCAGCGCAAGGTATTAGCACCATGACATCAAGCTCATTGTTCAAGTATTCCACCAGTAGCTTCGGGTTTCCCTATAGACGATAGAGTCCAGCCACCATTTTCATTCTTGGAACTGGATTTTGAAATGCTTGTATGGAACTCTTATAGTAATCTGTGAGCCTCTCTCACTAGACATCAACCTTCAGCTCCATGCTGATCTACTCTGCTTTGTAAAAGCTTTGATGTCTCCTTTTGATTATAACAGATGCAGCCAATTTATGAGCTAACTGTGGGGTCCCAGAACATAGTCAGAGTTTGCAAAGTCCCACCAAGTACACCCCTGGTGCCTCATGGTGGGGGTCACTGCTGACCGATAGTTGCCTAGGGTGTCCCACAGATCCCCAGTGACGTAGGATACACACAGCCTCCACAGGCAATCTTTCTCCAGTGTACCACTATCATTTTTTTGCCTCTTCACAGGAAACATGAATTTGTGTTGCTGCAATTAGAAGTTATTATGTCTTGTCCTACCCACCATAGACAAAATTAATCTCTTGTTCTAAGAGCTCTTGAAGATTTGTTTCTCCCTTGGACTTTTTTCTTCCCTTTATGGGTAAAAAAAAATCAATTCCTTCAGTATTTCCACAGCCTGCTTACTATGCTCCTAGCCAACCTCAATGCTTTTTATTAATCTTTCTCTTGTTGGTCTCCCATTTTCTCAAAGTATAATGCAAAACAACAGACAGTCTTCCAAGATAAAGCTTTGTCTATGCTCACAAAAGTGAAGGAATCCCTTCAGACACCTTCCAAGCTTTGCTGCCACTTATACATCACAAGATGAAAACTTCTTTGGAAAAGCATGCCACTGTATATTCATCTCCAGTTCTCCCTTCAAAGCCACTGTTTCCAAGTCAGCTTATAGCCATAAAAGACCAGTAGTAAGTTAGCATTTGGCAGATGAGTAGACCAGAGGTAAGTTAGCATTTGGCTAGTTGGTGGTCTCTGCCCAGTTCCACATGGATTCCCCTGTGCCCCATGGGCATGGAATATAGAACCATATTAAATGGTCTACTACCACAAAACATTAATTTGCTCACATCTCCTGAATGTGTAAGTGGGGACCCCAAGAATGAACAGGCTAAATTTTGTACCATGCATGTTTCCTGCAGGAAGTCTACTCTTAAAACTAATAAAGAAAGCACATGCTGCCTCTGCCTACATTTTGCAATCAGACTTCAGTCATCTCAGTGGTTAACTGGTAACTCTGTCAAATACTATGCTAATTTAAAAAAAAAACTTACGCTAAAACATATGTGATGCAAACATTCACACATAATTTCACTGTCTACAGTATCTTTTGCACAAAGCACTTCAAAAATATTAATCCTTGCAAGCTCTCTATGAAGAAGCATTAACATTTCCTTGATCAAATGCAGAAACCACAGCTTAAAGAGAGGTTAAGTCAACTGCCCAAAGCCATAGAGTGAGTTGATGACAGTGTTAGACATCAGTATCTTTCTTATGCTAAGCACGTTTATGTTGAACCTGCAGAGAATGGACAGCTGTATAATGCTTTTCAGTCCATATCTATGCACAAAATCCATTTTCTCCTTGTTAAAGAGAAGAAAACACTACACGGAAAAAACAGTACTCAGTACCAAACGCACATACCTGATCACAAACTGCAATCAGAGACTAAAAGGAGAGCACTGTCATCCCGTTTAGCTGTGTGATGGCAACTACCCCTACAAAATACATGACTGTGCACATTCACACAAGTAAGCCAGATAAGTTCTACCAGAGGAAAATGTGTCCTTTCTAAGTCCTTTGGTTTGAACCTTACCTTTCCACAAGCCACCATGGACAGGGCAAGCTGGTACCAGAGGTGAAATTCATCAAACGCAAACTTCATGGCTCTCTCCAAGCACTGAGAAATAAATGTTGGCAGAAATGTCAGACTTTTTTTTTTTATTTACATCTTTTGTCAAGACTGCTCTTGGCTCAATAATCAAATGAGGGAAACCAATCTCCTACAGTCCACGTGATTTCTTTTTTTTAATGATAACATATTCCTCTTCCCAGTTAATGGAGCTTGCTAGCACACACCATCACTTCAAACAAGGACCACTTTGTTCAAGTGCCTACATACATATCATTTTAATGTCTCCAACAGTTCTATGTACATTTCTGGCCTGTGCTACCATAGTCTGTAGCTGTTTCTACTATCTGCCAACTACTGTCCTTCATTTTCACCTTTCCCCACAGGTTACTGCACAGAGGGGCTTTGCTTGCGTGTTTCAAGTGGCAGTTTGGGCAGAAGGCAGGAAGAGGTACCTCAGAAAGCATGACATACTGCCCTCTCCTGCCCAGCGTGATGCTGAGGAGGTCGTAGACTGCAGAAGCATCCCGGAGGCTGACAGCTCGGTCATCCTGCTGCTCTGGGGCTCGGCTGATCACTGCATCCCGGTTGGCCTGGGCACAGATAGAAATGAAGCATCAGACCCCAAAAGAGCAAGAGAAAATCGACTCCTCCATAGGTTCTGCTCATCACCCACGGCACTTTGTTTAAAATCATCTTGAGGTTTTTTTTTTTAACCCATCACAACATAAGAAAGGTGTTTTTTTGTCCATATGAAGCACACTCAAGAAGACAGATACACATACAGAAAGGAGCTTCTAGGAATACCTCATCTGGATTTGTTTCATGGAATTAGAGCGCTAGGAAACAGACCCACCAGATCTCATTTCCTCAATAATTACAAATTCAATGCCATCCTTAAACCACATTCCTCATTACTTCAATTGCCTGCAACTGTGATAACTGCTTCCATGGTTGATATTTTATCTTCTGTGTCTGCAGTTGATTTCTTCCCAATAGCATGTGGTTTTGTTCCTCTTTTCTGCTACTTACTTTTTATTTTTTAATTTGAGCAAGTTGCCTTAGTCATCAGATTTGCCTGTCATCAATGTAATGCAGTTCAAAGTCTGGGCCACACAATACCAAATAATTTTTTTAATAAATATGTTATAAGTGTTAATTTGGCACAATCTACCAGTGCATTGCTCAGCCTAGATCAAAAAGAAACATTACTTTTGAGAGAAAATGATCAGCCTAGCAATTTGCGAGGCTGTCCCAAAATATCATATGTCATAGGCTCAGATTTACCTCAAGATCTCAGCCTCTCTGCTTTCTGAGGTAAATTCAAAGAGGTAAATTTCAATCCCAGAGAAAACAGATAAATCCCTCTGATTCCCAGGCGCAGAGGACTTCACCCAGACTGCCTAACCTCAGAGAGAGGCGGTGCTGGATGCCATTGAGCGCTGGCACTGACTGAGAGCACAGCTGGGCTCCCCAGCTGAAAGGGGTGCAACATCACACATTCAGGTCTAGACATCTAAAAGATCAGAAAAATTAGTTGATTGCTGGCAGTTTCACCTGGGGCGAAGACAAACAAAATGTTCTCTCCCTCAAGCAGGAAGGTTATGAGATATATTTTATAATACTTACTACTATAATCTTACATCTATTTCTTTCTAATTGCAGGGAATTTTTTTTTCCTAAAAAGGTTAAACATGGGAATTAAGTGTAATAAAAATTTCCAGAATGTGCAGCCCTTAAAGCCCACGCATATTTCATTATGATTAAGCTGCAGCTGTTTCATCATGATATTATCTGTGTAATGCCCCAGTTCCAAGCACTCTTCATCACAGCCTCCAGCCGAGACAGCAAACACAATTACTGACAACTAACACAATCACAACCAAGAGCTCAACGGCAACTGCAGTTGAAGGCAAACTCACAGGTCAGACTCAGTCTAGTGTTTGCACAAATAAACTTGCACTGACTCTTGTAGCCACAAAAGTATTTTTCTTTTTCATGTTACTGCAAAGGACATAATTTGTGATTTAAAAAAAAAATAATAGTTCAGAACAATAGGTGGCATGAGAGAACGAAACCAACTTGGAGTAAGTCCTGCAACCAGAGTACAGAAGCATAGCTCATCTATCTTTATTAGCAGAACTAACCAAAAAGAATAAAACAATAAATAGATGTTTAAGCTCTATTTCAACTTAACTCAAGACTGCTACTTTAAAAAGAAATAGCCTAAGTAAAGACATACAGAACAATTCTGATTGCTGCTTCAGAGAGTTAAAGACGAGGCATATACAGAACGATCCTTATTGCTGAGTGAATCCTCCTACGTATATACAATAGCATTAACAATTTTTTCTGCACTGATTACATTGTTATGACAATTGTTTGTAGAAAATAGCTACTGAGCTACCACCCCCATGCTCTGTAATCTCATCATCAACCTCCCATTAGAGTCAGCTATAGCCTGATGCTTTTTTTGGAAATCCATCTAGTACCAAACTATGATTTTTAAGTTGATGCATTAGCACAGACAGAAAATTAATCAGAACTGGTGAGTGCCCATTAACATCTGCTGACAGATATTGGTACTAGTGGCAAGAACATGCCCAAATCCTGCAATAAGCAGGAATATGAGACATATTACAAGGATGCAACATTCTGAAACTACAGTCATACTGAACATATTGTACTTTACCTAAGCAGACAGCAGCTAAAAACAACGTACACATAGGCATGACTAATATTCTTTCCAAGAAGGTCATAAACCTGTTCATTTTGTTCAAGCTTTCAAATCTCAAAGCCATAGAAGGTCTCTGCAATTTATCACTCTCTTTACTTGCATGCATAAAATTTGCCACTGAGCAAATTCATGGTCACTTCTACCCCAACATTTTTTTAATACTGAACCTATATCCAATTGCTAATTTCAACTGCTCAAAAAAATCAAGATGTTCCCGCATCACAGAAATATATATATATAAAAGAAAATAACCAAAACATGCAATCCTCACAACAAACTGACTGAACAGTAACAACAACATGGAGTGTGTCTAATACAATAACGTAAATCATCATCCCAAGGCTCAAGGTATCATTTACTACTGCAGTGTTACCTACAGGAGGGCAGAGAAGGGAATGTGAATTACTATTTCTTGAAACCCACCCAGGCAAATTGGCATGTTTCTATGGCCTGCCTCTCACAGAAGGAAGGGTGCTGTAACCCAGATCACCCTCAGCCTTTTCTATTTTTTGTCTTTACCTTTGTTTATGTTTTTGTAAACTTCTGTTTGGCAGTGAGAAATCCTGCAGTCACTGGTTAAGTACAGGTACAAAAGAGTTGCAGAGTTACTGCAATACGGCACACACCAATTCTGTTGGATGGCGAATTTTACTTACTGAACCATAGAGAGAGAGCGAGAAAGATACTTCATTTTGCATTTGAGAATGCATCAGTTCTAAGCCATTTACATCAACTTTTTTACAATACCTACCTGTGTTTCTGTTGTTTCAGACCACTAATTTTCCTGAACACAGACGCAAAGATGGTTATTTGCAGAACACTGATCTCCAAACAGTGTATCCATAACATAAGCAGTAATTCCCAATTTGTCCTACTGCATTACTTCCTCCTCCTCCACTAAAAGCAGCAGTGAAACATACCTACAAATACATTTTCAACACCCCCAGCATGACTCTTCCCTTTAAACTGTTCCCATTGTCACACAGGCATGCCTCACAGCACACAAGCGAGATGGAGAGAAGTGGTGAGTCACACCATTAAAAGAGAGAACCTCTGTTCAAGGCCATTGTGTGGGATGGGGAAGGTCACTAATGCTACCAACAGGAGCTTCACCATTGGGAGTTAGTGTAACTTGCATTATACAGAGCAAAAATATACAGTCAATGCCCCTTTATTTGAGGTACTCCTAAGTAATGGAGCAACCCAGAGAGACATTAGACACAATCAGCTGTACATGCAGGTGGCTCAGACATGATACCAATCCTATTTTGGGAGGTAAGACATCCTGTAGTCAGCCCAGACCGAGCAGCACACAGGACAGCCCAGGGACACAGCCCGCCTGCAGGCCACACACATCCAAAAGGCTCCAGCACAGGTGGTACCACCGAGCTCAGCCACCCTGATGTTCCTGTATCATGCTTGAAGCCCAACTCAGGTGTTCAACCTGACCAGGCACAAAGCCAGCTGGGGTTCAGCAGGGATTTTTAGGTCCGTCTCCAAACCACAGGAATACAACAGTATGGGACCTTCAGACCCACGCTGGCTCTGATAGCAGGGAAGAGATCTGCCTTTCGGGGATCTGCACCTGATCTACCAACCCTGCTGAGCTACAAACAGCTTGTGCCTTCCTATCCACATATACAATATACTTACCTGCAAAGTAGATAAGCCACCTATACACAAAGGATGTGCTTTGCATGAATGACCCTGATAATTATAGCTTATTTATGGCATGTTTATTACACATAGAAAGGAAAAGAGCCACAGCAAATCCAAACAGCCATTACTTCAGCAGTTATTACGCACACAGTTATACTGCAGAAAATTGAATTTTACCACAGTACAAAGATGTGCTTCTTAATAAAATGTCAAGCAATCATATGAATTACAATAGAGCATATTCCACATAGCAGCCTCTTCTCACAGAAATTAGCTATGAAGTTTCCTTTAATTGCTCACTTTGAAACGTGGCTCCCCCTGCTTTTTTTTTTTTTTCAAAGAAGAAAAAGAAAGCAATTAAAATCTTTAATGAGTGCCTGCTGCCTGCCCCTAATTCATGGGCATTCTAATGTTCAACTTGTGTCTTTTCATAATAGATATAATTGCCAGATCCACTGCAACTTTCATAATAGATATAATTGCCAGATCCACTATACAGATCCATCTATACAGAACGGCAGCATGTTTTACACAGTGTACTGTAATAATGTAATTGGCGTGATTCAATACTAGCATTAAGAGAGAAAAACAAATGCTATGCATGTAAGATTGACAACAAGCCTTTGAAATCATGCAATTGATGCCTCTACTGCTAAAAGCTGGGAAATATTCAATCCGTGTCTTTTGGATCTCCATACTGGCTGTTTTGCCTGTACTGCCAACGAAATGAATGAATTCTTCACAACGGCAATTCTTCACTTCCATTCATGTGGAAGAGGCTACTGATTTTTCACCTGTTATTGATAATTTCTACATAGCACCTGAAAGTTCCCCTCACTAACATATACAAAGAAAATATTCAGGGTTGACTGCGAAGCTGCTGTGAAAATGGGAAGCAGCTGGAAAAGGTAAGAAACACCATACTCCAGCCACTCCCAAAACTTCTCTTTCAGAGATACCGCAATTTGCTCCATTTCAGACAAGAAGCACAGCAAATGAAAACTTACTGCCCTGTGAACTGTGTGGCATCTGTCTCATTTCTGGCAGGCAACAGAAAACCAGTTACTGGTACCCCATTTGGATGTCTCAGCAAAACAGCTCATTATTATTGGTTATTAAATACATCCATAGAGATATATCTTCACTCTCACCAGGTATATTTTAATGTCTCATACTGCAGCAGAACTAATTGTGGAG